CTGGGAGCAGACAGGAAGGACAGAGACACATGGAGAAGAGGCCCAGTGCGTCTCGGCGGGGTGTGGCTGCTAGACAGGAGCCAAGGGGTCCCTTCCTGGGAAGAAAAGTGTGGCCATGCAAAGTGAACCCAGGGGACGGCGAGGGGCCTGACCCGCTCTTCTCCTGAAACTCAGGTATTTCCAGTATGTGTTGGGTGTCCCCAGGAAAGACACTGGCTTGCAGGGGACCCCATGCCCTCTTCCCCCACATGGGGAGCCTCGGGATCCATTTTCATTGCTGCGGGCACAGGGGCCTCCTCCTCAGCCCATCCTCATCTGATGTTGCTGTTTCGTCCTCTTCCTGCCTCGTGCTTTGTTGATGCTCCGCAAATAATTTGGAAGTGATGTGTAAATGGAATAAATGGAAAATAATTCTCATTGCTCCCAGCTGGCCTAGCCCCGTCCCTCACCCACCTGCCTTGGGGGCCAGGAGGCTCTATGATGTGAGGACGCTGGACAGAAACAGCAGCCAGAGGGGGACAGAGGCAGGAAAGAGACTGGACAGAGATGGACAAAGACTGGACAGAGACAAGACAGAGGGGACAGAGACTGGACAGAGATGGACAGAGGGGACAGAGACTGGACAGAGGGGACAGAGGTGGACAGAAACAGACAGAGAGGGACAGAAGATGCATGGGCTGGCCAGGTGAGGGGCGATGCTTGGGCACCCCCAGGTCACAGGGCAAGCAGCGGTACTGAGCAGTGCCACAGTGTGACAAAGAGAGTGACGTGCAGCAGGTCAGGGGCAGCGTCCAGTGTGGACAGAGCCTTCCTGATGCCTGGGCCACCCCTGAGCTCACGGGGCCACCCTCTGGCCGCTGGTCCCTCAGCTCCCCAGCCCAGGGCTGTCCAGCAGCGAGCGCTGCCCTGGGAGATGAGTGGTGAGTGGGCGTGGCACACACCGCTGGTGTCTCAGGCCCTTGGCTCCCATCTCGGTGATGAGCTCCGCTGGGCCGGAGTCCCCATCAGGAAAGAAGTTGGAGGGAGCGGAGGCCACCACCCTCCACACCAGGGCTGTGACCATGGAGGGGTGAGTGGTGGCTGCCATGTGGGATCCTGGCAGCGACCCACACACCATGCAGAGTCAGCTCCAGGCTGGCCATGGTGACAAGTCTTCCGGGATGGGGCCAATGATGCGAGGGCCACGCCCGTTTCCTTTCCTTTGAAAGCGAGTCTCCTATACATAGAAATGGCTTTGCTTGCTCACCCTGCGGCCTCACTGGCCGGGTCACACACCCACACGGCACCAAGGCCCTCCCCGGAGCCCTCCCCACTCACTTCACCGTCGTGGCCTCTGCTTTCGTGGCTTCCTTCCCTCCGTGAGAACTCGGCGCAGGTACATGGAGCTTTTCACACAACTCAAGAAACCCAGCCTGAGGGCCCTCCATACTCCCCAGACTCGGACACGCGGGGACCTCGTGTTTCGGCTTTGCCTTCGCAGTGCACGACTGTGCACTTGGGCCTGGCTCTGGTGGCTGCCACGTCTTGGAGACCCCGTCCCCCTGTCCACGCAGGTAGCAGGGACAGGGCCACCGCCAGGCTGGGAGCACGGATGGAAGCAGGAAATGTCTCCTGATGCTCCCTTCCTGACAGCAGGACTCGCCCTCCTCAGATTCTTTATTTTAAAAGGAATAATCATCTTTGATTGTAATGAAACACTTAAAAACAGATCACTCATCAGAGGACACCCCGGAGACTCCAGTTCCTCCCTGGAACCTTCTAGCGGAACCAATCACCCCGCATGGCTCCGGGAAGAGCCTCACATCGGCCACACCCGAGGCTTTCATCAGGTTCACAAGCAAAGCCCAGGGTGTGCGGATTCACTGCTGTGCTCAGTATTTTCCCACGTTTTTATTTTTAAAACATACCCAGACTTCAATGATAAAATTTTTTTTTGAGACAGGGTCTTGCTCTGTCCCAGGCTGGAGTACAGTGGAGCCATCACGGCTTACTGCAGCCTCGACCTCCTGGGCTCAATCAGTCCTCCTGCCTCAGCTCTGAGTAGCCGGGACCACAGGAGCAGGCTGCCACGCCCAGCTACATTTTTTAAAAATTTCTTTTTTTTCTTTTTTTTTTGAGACGCAGCCTCGCTCTGTCTCCCAGGCTGGAGTGCAGTGGCTGGATCTCAGCTCACTGCAAGCTCCGCCTCCCGGGTTTACGCCATTCTTCTGCCTCAGCCTCCCGAGTAGCTGGGACTACAGGCACCCGCCACCTCTCCCGGCTAGTTTTTTGTATTTTTTTAGTAGAGACAGGGTTTCACCGTGTTAGCCAGGATGGTCTCGATCTCCTGACCTCATGATCCGCCCGTCTCGGCCTCCCAAAGTGCTGGGATTACAGGCTTGAGCCACCGCACCCGGCCTTAAAAAATGTCTTATACAGACAGCGTCTCACGATGTTGCCCAGATGGGTCTCCAGCTGCTGGGCTCAAGTGATCCTCCTGCCTCGGCCTCCCAAAGTGCTGGGATTACCAGCGTGAGCCATATGTTCCCACTTTAGAAGAAGGAAATTCTTCATCCTGGCGAACACAGTGAAACCTCATCTCTACTAAAAATACAAAAAAATTAGCCGGGCGAGGTGGCGGGCGCCTGTAGTCCCAGCTACTCAGGAGGCTGAGGCAGGAGAATGGCGTGAACCTGGGAGGCGGAGCTTGCAGTGAGCCAAGATCGCGCCACTGCACTCCAGCCTGGGCAACGGAGCGAGACTCCGTCTCAAAAAAAAAAAAAAAAAGGGAAATTCTTGCTTTGGCCCAAATATATTTCTTTGTCCAAGTACCTCTGTGATTATCATGAATAATAAACGTAGCCAAGAATGAAAATCAAACTAATAATTACTTACTTCAAAAGCAGTTTAACCCATAACGAACCCAACACCCGCTTTCTTCAAACGCGTTTATCCTTTAGATGTGGCGAGAAGCCGGCGACATCGTCATTTACTCCAAGGTGACAGGATCAGGCTTCCATGCAGCGTTTTCCACCTGCCCCGACCGTGACCACGGCCACGGACCCTCCGGAAAATCAAGACTGGGAGAAGCTCAAGGGTGGCCCAGGCTCAGGCAACTTCCCACCCAGGATGGGGCCCACCGGCCTGACCTGGAGAGCGTCCGTGAAGCAGCTGGCCCAGCGAGGGCAGCTTTGTCCACCAACCGGAGGTGGGCCTCATCCTCCCAGATCCATGGAGTCCTTCAGAATCGTGCCTCGCTCCAGTGTCCCACGTAGGAGGCCATGGGAGGACGCGGGGGCCTGGGGGTGCCCGTCCCATCTGCCCAGAGCCTGCAGCCCTGACCAAGGAGGGCTCCCCATACATGGGCAGAAGCTGTGGACCCAGGGAGCCTATCCCATGCCATCCTCCGCATGTGGCCCGTGGCCCCAGTAGCCCTGAGACAGCCCGTGGTGCAGGAGGGGCCCTGGGCAAACCGAGGCGCAGCCCCCAAGTCCCCAGCACCCAGGGGTCACCACGCCTCGGCTGGCCTCATGCCCGCTCATTCCCAGGGCCCAGGAACGCCGCCCCTTTCTTTATCAACACCCAGAGCAGCTCCCGGGCCATAGGTGGGGCCTCCTCCAGTCAGAGGCACCTGTGCCAGGGGCTGGGGAACACGGATCTATGCCAGACAGGCTGAGAGAGGAGGGGCCCAGGGAGGAGGGGCCCAGGGAGGAGGGACCCAGGGAGGAGGGCCCAGGGAGGAGGGGCCCAGGGAGGAGGGGCCCAGGGAGGAGGGCCCAGGGAGGAGGGTCCCAGGGAGGAGGGGCCCAGGGAGGAGGGTCCCAGGGAGGAGGGCCCAGGGAGGAGGGCCCAGGGAGGAGGGGCCCAGGGAGGAGGGCCCAGGGAGGAGGGGCCCAGGGCTCTCCCCAGGACACTTCCAGGGCATCCAGGAGGGTCTGGCTTCAACACCACTCAGGGTGGGCGGCCAGCCCCTCCCGGGAAGGTGCCCAAATCCCTGGACAGTCACCTTGGGATGGCTGTGGGCAGAAACTGGGCTTGGCCTGCCCTCCCCGCCTGCCGCCCCACCCAGGCCTCTCCACAGCTGGTCTATTCCGGGCTCCTCTGACCACCACTTTATTTTTATATTTTTAAGATGGAGTCTCACTCTGTCGCCCAGACTGGAGTGCAGTGGCACGATCGCGGCTCACTGCAACCTCTGCCCCTCAGGGTCAAGCGATTCTCCTGCCTCAGTCTCCCCAGTAGCTGGGATTATAGGTGTGCGCCACCACACCTGGCTGATTTGTTTTTGTATTTTTAGTAAAGACGGGGTTTCGCCATGTTGGCCAGGCTGGTCTTGAACTCCTGACCTCAAGTGATCTTCCCGCCTCAGCCTCCCACAGTGCTGAGATTACAGGTGTGAGCCACTGCGCCCAGCCTGGCCATCAGTTTAATGCCAGGGCAAAGGGGGAGGAGGAGACCTAGCCTCGGCCCAGGAGAAGGCCCACGGGAGCTGGCACAGAGAAGCCAAGAGCCTCCTTGGTGAGGACACTCGGACCCAGGCCCTCGGGATGCTGGCTGCTGACAGGGCCAAGCCTGGTGTGGTGGGGCCGTGGTGCCCATGGTGATTTATGGGCCAGGAGCACTGGGGGTACACGCAGGGCTGTGGGAACGGCTGATATTCACCTCCACCTGAATCCAGCAGAATCCCCACCCACCCCAAAGCACACCATTGCTGCCTCCAGAGCCGCCACTCACAACCCTTCTCCAAAGCTGCCGAGGTTCACTGATGCTGAGACCTCGAACGGAAGCTGCTGGCCTCACATTTGTCCCCATTTACGGCTGATGCTTTAGCCAGTCTTTGATAGGCCGGGGGTTGTTCAACTTGGACGAGGCCACTCAGGTGGATGAGTCCTGTCCGTTCACAGATGGGGACTCGTGCCCCGTCCCCGTCCTGCTGGCTCCCTCTCTGAGGGAGGGGCTGGCCTCCAGCTCAGGCTCCCAGGCCTACAGCCCAAGCACACGCGATGCTGGAGAAGCGAAAAGCTGGTTCCCTCCATTTACTCACGGATGAAAAGATTAACACATCAGCAAATCAAAATCAGAGAATTCCTAAGGCACTCTGTGCAATGGGAACGGGTGGACGTGGGGGTGGGTGCACGACTGGCGTGGCCCAGGAGTGCCGCCCGCGGCGTGGCTGCCTCCACACGGGCCCTCCTGAAGTTATCTTGGTCTGGCTGCCGGCTACAGGAATGCTGGGTCCTCGATGCCGTGGTCGGGGTTGCAGCTGAAGGCGATGGTGATGGCATAGCGGGTGCCCCAGTGGACCTTCTCCACCCGGTGCAGGTTCTCGGACCCCGAGGTGAAGAAGGAGACGCGGCCTGGGAAAGAAGAGAGAGAGGTGACCACAGGGCCACACCCACACCACGGCCTTCAGAGGGTCTGCGGTCAACCCTAAAGAGCAACCAATCAACACAACCCACCGGGCAGGCTGGAGAAATCGCCCCTCTGGGAACTGCTTCTGCAGGAAGCAGGAAGAGCTGGAGAAACAAACCCAGCAATGCTCAGGGCACCTGTGGCGGAGGAGGGGCCCCCACGGGGACAGCAGGGACTCTCTGTGGTGGGCAGGACAGAGGAAGGAGCAGAAGATGAGGCCACCACTGGCTCCAGGCAACCCAGGCCATTTGATCTCCCAAGCTCCGGGCACCCGAGGCCATTTGGTCTCCTCAGCTCTCATGGGCCTTCCAGGTCTGACACTTCAGGATCTTATTTCTACTCACAGGTTGAGAACACAAACCAAGCCCTGGGGTGTTCTAACAAAGAATCAGGAAAGACAAGTCAAGATAAAACATCCAACTTGCAAACACCTCTCTGGCTCCCTTCAAGGGGTGATAGAGATGACGCCTGAACCGGCAGCTTCCACAGCAGCGACCAGGGCCCAGGGCCCCAAGAGGTGCTGGAGGCAGGTGCCTGTCTCAAGAGATGCCAGTTCATCTGCCTTAATATTGGAGTGGCACTGCCTACCCCACTGTAGAGATTTTGCGGTAAGCGTTTCAAAAAAAAAAAAAAAGAACCGCGGACACACTGATCTGTGTGACCTCACTCGAGGCTACAGAAGAGATAATTACATAATTTTTTTTTTTTTGAGACGGAGTCTCGCTCTGTCGCCCAGGCTGGAGTGCAGTGGCACAATCTCAGCTCACTGCAAGCTCCGCCTCCCGGGTTCACACCATTCTCCTGCCTCAGCCTCCCAAGTAGCTGGGACTACAGGCACCTACCACCACGCCCGGCTAATTTTTTGTATTTTTAGTAGAGACTGGGTTTCACCGTGTTAGCCAGGATGGTCTTGATCTCCCGACCTCGTGATCCACCTGCCTCGGCCTCCCAAAGTGCTGGGATTACAGGCGTGAGCCACCACGCCCGGCTGACAATTATATAACTATTACCTAAATATCCCTCCATATACATAGGACTATATGTGTACAACATCAAATCACAGGTAAACACATAGATATACACAATTAGACAGATGCTCGATATCAAATCACAGGTAAACACATAGATACACAATTAGACATCAAATCACAGGTAAACACATAGATACACACAATTAGACAGATGTAGGATATCAAATGACAGGTAAACACATAGATACACACAATTAGAGGCACATGCAGGAGACACGTTGTTTTAATTATCTGGAAGATGGTGACACAAAATGTTCGACTCAAGTATTTATCATGCTTAAAATGACTAAGATCAAAATATGCTAAAAAGTTGTGTAATTTCGAGTCCTAGGAGGTTTCAGCTGCTTGACTTCCCGAGAAAACGTCTGTCTTGTGCTCTGTGAGTTTTTCATTTTCCAACAAAACTGCTGTGACTAGGACTTCTGGGGTGAGGGCAGACAGGCTGGGCTCCTGCTTACAGAGGCTGGACGTCCAAACCTTTCCCCTAATGCAGAGATGACTCAGAACAACTGACATGAAGGCAGAGCGAGGCCAGGATGCAGTCAGGCCAAACGCCCCCAGTCCACGCCAGGGGAGACTACGCCCAGGGCTGTGGCACACACGGCCCGAAGCCGGCTGCAGGGAATGGGCTTGGCCGGCCGCTGGCTGCAGCAGGAACTGTCCAGCCTGTGGCCAGGGAGCAGCTGAGGGAGGCAGGATGGCAGGAAGTGGCCGGGCAGCTCAGGCCACCTGCCACAGGTAGTCATGGAAAGAGAGAGTCCCTCAAACTGAGGCTGCAAACTAAAGTCCTGAGCTAACCTGAGAAAGGCAAGTACAAATAACAGGAATGTCAAAATAAACAAGCTGGAGATCTTAAAAGAGATAAAAGAAAGAAGTCCTGACTGTCACATGGTCCCTGGTCTGACTGAGCAGCCAGGCAGGAGGAACACCTGTGCCGAGAGGCCACGCCATAGGTGAGGGCAGTGCCCTGGGGATGGGTGAGGCAGCGGTGGGTGGGTGGCGCTGGCACAGTCCAGAGGGCTCCCAGGCCTGTGCGAGTTTCAGCTGCATCTGAGGTCAGGGCTGTGGGCTCCACCTGAGGAGGCCCCTAACAGGGGTTCCCCCTCCCCACACCCTCCCACCCCAGGACCTGGGCTTGTGTCACCCACAAGTTCAAGGAGCAGACGACTGTCCGCTCAGCAAATGCTCCCTGGCACTGCTGTGTCCGCACTGGGCTGGGCATGGCTGGGGCTCTGGGGCTCTGGGACTGCAAGGTCCAGCGTGATGGGCTCTGAAGCCAGCACCGCAGAGACACCCGGTGAGGTTCCCAGCCACCAGCGAGGAGGGCACTTGGTCACCGACACTGGGCTGGGGCCTTGTCTAATCTTAGATCCCGAATCCTTTTGAGAAGGGTACAGAGGTGAACACACTCCAGAAGGGAGGGAGGGGGACCCTGACCACTAAGAGGACACAAACCAGGGAGGGAGGGGGCGGCGCCCGTCAAGGGGACACACCGGGAAGGAGGGGGATGGCACCCGTCAAAGTGATGGGCACCAGAGAGAGAGAGGGACAGCACCCATCAAGGTGACACACACCAGGGAGGGAGGGGACGGCACACCAGGGAGGGGGAGGGGACGGCGCCTGCCAAAGTGATGGGCACCAGAGAGTGGGAGGGGACAGCACCCATCAAGGTGACACACACCAGGGAGGAGTGGGACGGCGCCTCAAGCAAAGTGATGGGCACCAGAGAGGGAGGGGGACAGCACCCATCAAGGTGACACACACCAGGGAGGGAGGGGACGGCACCTGTCAAGGTGATGGGCACCAGGGCATGGAGGGGAGCTCTGCCCCTGACTGACGGTGACTTCAGACACGTGGCCCTGTAGACACCGGCCTCCTGGGTGCTGGGACTGGTGCTGGACCTGGGAATCACTCAGCACCAGCCTGACACACAGCAGGTGCTCTGTGAACGCAGCCTCGCTCCCAGGGACACGCCCCTCACACCTGTGGTGCTTGCCTGAGCCAGGGGCCCCATGCCCAGGCCCCGCCCGTGCCTCCTACCGGCTCTCGGCTCCACCGTCTTGTTGGCGCCCTCCTCCATGAACACGAACCGCCCTCCACCGAAGTCCTCCAGGTAGTCGGAGAGGTACAGCAGCGAGGTGTAGTCGAAGGAGCCGTAGGTCACCTGAAGGCAGAGCCGGGAGGAGGGGGCAGAACGGGCTCTCAGCATGCGGCCAGGGCAGGTGCTGCTTCTCTCTCTTATTTTTTATTTATTTATTTTTTGAGACACAGTCTCGTTCCATTGCCCAGGTTGGAGTGCAGTGGCGTGATCTTGGCTCACTGCAACCTCCACCTCCCGGGTTCAAGCAATTCTCCTGCCTCAGCTTCCCGAGTAGCTGGGACTACAGGTGCCCGCCACCACCCCCAGCTAATTTTGTATTTTTAGTAGAGACAGGGTTTCACCTTGTTGGTCAGGCTGGTCTCGAACTCTTGATCTCAGGTGATCCACCTGCCTTGGCCTCCCAAAGTGCTGGGATTACAGGCATGAGCCACTGCACAAGGCCTCTTTTTTTTTTTTTCAAATAGGGTCTCACTTCTTTTACAGACAGCATGACTCAGGCTATAGTGCAGTCACAGCACTGTCATTGCTTACCATAACCCTGAACTCCTGGCTTTAAACAATCCTCCTGCCCCAGCGTCCTGGGTAGCCGGGACCACAGGTGCACGCCACCACACCCAGCTAAGTTTTTCAACCCACCTACCTTGGCCTCCCGGGTGCTGGGATTAGAGGCATGAGCCACTATGCCTGGCCAATTTTTGTATTTTTTGTAGAGGCTGGGGGTCTCACTATAATGCCCAGGCTGGTCTCAAACTCTGGGCCGCGGGTGGTCCTCCCGCCTCAGCCTCCCGGGTGCTGGGATTACAGGCGTGAGTCACCAACATCTGTGCTTCTTATTTTCCAGAAGGTAAATTCACAACACGTGTCGGCCCCATTAATGAGGCCATTCATTCCTTTGCAACTTTAAAACCCCTCTGTGTAGTCTCCAGCCCCATGCATTCTTGCCCAGGACTTCCCGTAAGCTCAAATGTTGGAGCAGCCGTGTTCCAGCAAAGGCTGCGGGCAGCAGGCCAGCCAGCAGGGTGCACACGCTGGGCTGGTCCCCCGGTGCCGGCCTCGCTGTCCACATGCGGGAACCGGGGGCAGGGGTGGACAGGCTTTTCTCCTTTCTTCAGAAGTGGAGCAATCCCAAACTTTTTAAAACTTGTAATAAAATGCAGAACCTAAGATTTACCAGCTTAACTGTTTCTTCACTGTTTTGAAGCACAGTTCAGTGACGTTAAGCACATTCTCAGCGCTACGCAGCCACCGCACCATCCTCTCCAGAACGTCTCATCCTCCCAGGCCGAAGCTCCGTCCCCAGGAAGCACTGACTCCCCACGCCCCCCAGCCCTGCCCTCTCCATTCTGCTTTCTGTCTCTGTGAACCTGGCAACTCAGGCAGGATCTGTCCCTCCGTGACTGGCTCACTTCACTCAGGGGTCGCAGCACTCAGCTTTGGTTCCAGAACCCAGCTGGGGCCACCCCCTGGGGATGAAGGGCGCTGAGGACCACACCCTGAGGGTGAAAGGTGCAGCCGCTGGGAGACCGGCTGCAAAGGGGAGGGTGCGTCTCACCCAGCTCAGCCGTCGTGAGCACATCCAGAGCGTGGAGGGTAAGAGACACTCTGGGGAGGCAAGGGGGATGGGGCTGCACCAGCGCAGAACTGGGCTCCCACTGTGCGGGCACTGAGCTGGGCACACCACACACAACAGAGCCTCGTGTGCAGTGGAGACAGCCCAGGCTGGAAGGCAGACTCTGGACCCTCCCCCTGGGCAAGGTGGCCTCCTCTGAGTCCTCCTGGGAAGGAGAGCAGGATGGCGCTGAGGCCCGGTCCCCAGTCCGACCTGCCAGTATCCACCTCACATAATCCGCTGCAGGGAAGCCCAGTCTCAGGTGGTGCCCTGGGGAGGTGGGTCAAGCTCCCTCTCCCCGCCCCACCCAGCTGCCAGGAGGCCCCTTGGGCTCAGCTCCCGTGGGCTTTGCCCCCTCCAGGCCTCATGGCTGCCCCCTGGAGTCCCCCCTTAAAAGCCTCCCAAACACAAGTCCGTGCCAGGCTCTGATTCTAGGGAGACCAGAGTAAGACAGATATCAAGTGAGCAAAGCCACGGGCAGACTGCACCTGCCATCTATAAGAAGGAAACCACACCAGGATCCATGCTCTGACAGACACAGCTGCCTTATGGTATGCAATCGGAAGAAAGAACAATTGCGGCCGGGCGCGGTGGCTCAAGCCTGTAATCCCAGCACTTTGGGAAGCCGAGACAGGCAGATCATGAGGTCAGGAGATTGAGACCATCCTGGCTAACACGGTGAAACCCCGTCTCTAGGCCGGGCGCGGTGGCTCAAGCCTGTAATCCCAGCACTTTGGGAGGCCGAGACGGGCGGATCACGAGGTCAGGAGATCGAGACCATCCTGGTTAACATGGTGAAACCCCGTCTCTACTAAAAAATACAAAAAACTAGCCGGGCGAGGTGGCGGGCGCCTGTAGTCCCAGCTACTCGGGAGGCTGAGGCAGGAGAATGGCGTGAACCCGGGAGGCGGAGCTTGCAGTGAGCTGAGATCCGGCCACTGCACTCCAGCCTGGGTGACAGAGCGAGACTCCGTCTCAAAAAAAAAAAAGAAAAAAAAAGAAAAAAAAAAAAAAAAAGAAACCCCGTCTCTACTAAAAAATACTAAAAACTAGCCGGGTGGGGTGGCGGGCGCCTGTAGTCCCAGCTACCCGGGAGGCTGAGGCAGGAGAATGGCGTAAACCCGGGAGGCGGAGCTTGCAGTAAGCCAAGATCCAGCCACTGCACTCCAGCCTGGGCGACAGAGCAAGACTCCGTCTCAAAAAAAAAAAAAAAAAAAAAAAAAAAAACACAATTGCCAAAACTGTTTGAAATGTGATTCTTTACAATTGATGGAATGTGGTATTCTTATGCATTCGTTTTTATACACATACAGAAATTCAAAAAGGAGCTCTAAGATCTCAGGACTGTGGTTACCTGTAGGTGAGGGGGTTACTGGTTCCCCTTTATATATATTTTACTTTTAAATCTTGTAGGATGCATCCTTTATTCAAATATTCAAATTTTGACACATGATTTATTCAAAACTAAATTTAAAATAAAGTACACTGGCCAGAAGTCATAGCAAAACAGCTCTCCACAGAGCAACAAAAATCACCCTGGTTTCTAAACAGTTCTGTTTCACTGAAGTAAAATCTCTGCTAATTAGAAAAACACTAATCTTCAGATGCTACTTTGGTTTCCTGAGACAGAATTCGGTCGCGAGCCATGGAAGGAGCCGGGAGCGACAGGACCAGGGCGAATCCGCTGTCTGTGCTGGCGGAAGGCCAGTGAGTGCCATGCAGTCATGAAAAAGGAAGTGGTTAAAGTGATCACAGCAAAGCAGTGGTGCCGGCTGCTCCCAACACTGCAGCCCGAGAGGGAGAGAGGAGGATTGAAGGCAATCCCAGGCCTTTGGGTTCCTTCACTGTTCTTCTTCCCTTGGGTTTACCTTTTTTTTTTGAGACAGAGTCTCCCTCTGCCACCCAGACAGGAGTGCCGTGGCGCGCTCTCAGCTCACTGCAACCTCCGCCTCCTGGGTTCAAGCAATTCTGCCTCAGCCTCCTGGGTAGCTGGGACTACAGGCACCCACCAACACGTCTGACTAATTTTTTGTATTTTACTTAGTGGAGACGGGGTTTCACCATGTTAGCCAGGATGGTCTCGATCTCCTGAACTCGTGATCTGCCCGCTTCGGCCTCCCAAAGTGTTGGGATTACAGGCGTGAGCCACCATGCCCAGCCCTGGGTTTACCATTTTAATGCCAAGTAGCAGAGTGCCAAGATGGCAGATGCTGACTGCAGATTATAACTGCGATCTCTCTCTCCTGATTACAACTGAAACTGCACAGAGTGCATTTTGGGAGGCCGAGGTAGGCGGATCATCTGAGGTCAGGAGTTCGAGACCAGCCTGGCCAACATGGTAAAAAACCATCTCTATTAAAAATTCAAAAATTAGCCAGGTATGGTGGTGAGCCTGTAATCCCAGTTACTTGGGAGGCTGAGGCAGGAGAATGGCTTGAACCCGGGAGGCAGAGGTTGCAGTGAGCCGATATCATGCCACGGCACTTCAACCTGGGTGGCAGAGGGAGACTCTGTCTCAAGAAAAAAGAAAAAAAAAGAAAAAAGAAAAAAGAAGAAAAAGGCTGCACCTGAAGAATAATTTAGTAACAAATGTCACATGGCACAGAAAGCTGGTCATCTATCTTACTGTCACAGCGGGTGCGGCGGGGGAGCGAGAGTTTGATCTTCCCAGCCACGTGCTTTCTGGCTTTAACCTTGCATTTGAGCTTCAGCTCCGGGGCTGACATGGTGCCACTCAACCACTTCCATCCAGGCTTACTGTATAAAGGGAACTCCCAGCTTCTACACCATAAAAATCAACCTTAAAGAATGGCTATAATACCATTCTTTTTATTAGCTGTGCTTTACTTTTATCTTCTAAAATCTTTTATTAAGGGCCAGGTGCGGTGGCTCACACCTGTAATCCCAGCACTTTGAGAGGCTGAGGCAGGTGGATTGCTTGAGGTCAGGAGTTTGAGGCCAGCCTGGCCAACATGGTGAAACCCCGTCTCTAATAAAAATACAAAAATTAGCTGGGCGTGGTGGTACACGCCCTGTAGTCCCAGCTACTTGGGAGGCCGAGGCAGGAGAACTGCTTGAACCCAGGAGGCAGAGGTTGTAGTGAGCCAAGATTGAGCCACTGCACTCCAGCCTGGATGACAGTACGAGACTGTCTCAAAAAAAAAAAAAAAAAGAAAGAAAGAAAGAAAAGAAAAGTCTGGGCACGGTGGCTCACACTTGTAATCCCAGCACTTTGGGAGGCCAAGGCGGGAAGATCACCTGAGGTCAGCAGTTTAAGACCAGCCTGACCAACATAATGAAACCCCGCCTCTACTAAAAATACAAAAATTAGCCGAGCGTGCTGGTGCACACCTGTAATAATCCCAGCTACTTGGGAGGCTAAGACAGGAGAATCACTTGAACCCAGGAGGCAGAGGTTGCAGCGAGCCAAAATTGCACCATTGCATTCCAGCCTGGGCAACAAGAGCAAAACTCCATCTTAAAAAGAAAAGAAAAGAGAAATGGGGGCCGGGCACGGTGGCTCAAGCCTGTAATCCCAGCACTTTGGGAGGCCGAGACGGGCGGATCATGAGGTCAGGAGATCGAGACCATCCTGGCTAACACGGTGAAACCCCGTCTCTACTAAAAAAATACAAAAACTAGCCGGGCGAGGTGGTGGGCGCCTGTAGTCCCAGCTACTCGGGAGGCTGAGGCAGGAGAATGGCGTGAACCCGGGAGGCGGAGCTTGCAGTGAGCTGAGATCTGGCCACTGCACTCCAGCCCGGGTAACAGAGCAAGACTCCGTCTCAAAAAAAAAAAAAAAAAAAAGAGAAATGGGATGGGCAATGGCTCTCGTCTATCATCCCAGCACCTTGGGAGGCCGAGGCGGGAGGATTGCTTCAGCCCATGAGGTCAAAGCCAGCCTGGACAGCATAGTGAGACCCTGTGTCTACAAAAAATTAGAAAAACGAGCCAGGCATCAGGGCACGCACCTGCGGTCCCAGCTACAGTCTTAGTCCCAGGCTGAGGCAACAGGAGGGCTTGAGCCTGGGAGGTCAAAGTTGCAGCGAGCCACGACTGCACACCTGCACTCCAGCCCGGGTGACAGAGTGAACCTGCACTCCAGCCTGGGTGACAGCCCTAACTCAAAAGAAATAAATAAAGGTAGAAAGTGGTAGAAGGAAGCTCCCAGAGACAACACAGAGACCTGGGCCATGGAGAGCATGAGTGGCTGAGCGGAGGCCATCTGCTGGAAGAGGTTGAGCATAAGTCTGTGAATAAATAACAATGGGGTAACCACAGGCCGTGTGGGCCGGGTTCTCCACTTCTTGTCACCACCAAATGAGAAATTTTATTTCTCCAACTCCATCAGTGAGATTGAGGGTGTGCCCTGAACCCTCAGAGAGGAAGACATCTAAATGCTTACACCCACCGGGCATGGTGACTCACACCTGTAATCCCAGCACTTTTTGGGGCCAAGGAGGGAGGATTGCCTGGCTCAGGATTTCAAGACCAGCCTCGCTAACATGGTGTAACCCCGTCTCTACTAAAAATACAAAAATTAGCCGGGTCTGGCGGGGTGTGCTTGTAATCCCAGTTACTCGCGAGGCTGAGGCAGGAGAATCCCCTGAACCCAGGAGGCCGAGGTTGCAGTGAGTCGAAACTGCGCCACTGCACTCCAGCCTGGAAGACAGAGCAAGACTCTGTCTCAACCAATCAATCCTAACACCTGTGGTAGACCCAGGACGCAGGAGAACGGGCCTCACCTCGTGCACGTGCGCGCTCACTCTGTCCACGCACACCACCCTGTCCGTGGGCACGCTCACCTTGTCCACGTGCGCGTGCCAGTACTCGTCATGCGCCGTCCGCGCCTCCGTGCTGTTTATGCGGGAGAAGAAGGTGGGCTTGGTCAGATGCAGCGAGGACGCGCTGATGCCGAAAGCCTCGGCGATGGTGAGCTGGACCTTCTGCCGCACCTCCCTGCAGAGGACACGACAGCTGTCAGCGCAGCCCCAGGCAGGAGGGGACGCTCGTGGGTCCCAACCCGTGGGCGGCAGGAAGAGGAACCAGCCCAGGCGCGCTCCGGACCCACGGGGCGGGGGCTCCCAAGCACACCGGGAACAGACACCGGCTCTGCCTGAGAAGGACGCAGCCCACAGCCCAGGCGCAGAACAGCCAGAGGCCGGCGCAAGACCACAGCGCCTGTGGGGAAGGAGAAGGGCGCCCGTGGGACCCACGCTGGGGAGGCTGGTGTGGAGTCAGGCCCCAGATGCCAGAGCCCCCGGGCTGCATTTGCAGGGCCTGGAGCCCAGCCTTCTATTCAGCAAGGCAGAGGCTGCTGTCTCCCGACGTGGGCGTGTGGAGTGCGTGGACATGGCCTGGGGAGTGGGCGTGGAGCCTGCTAAATGTGGATGGGGTGTCTGTACTGGGGACAAGGGGACTCTCGCTCAGAAGACCCCACGTGCCAGGCCAAAGTGGCTTTGAAATGGATATCTGGGTGGGCATGGGCCCATGCGGGGCACGAGGGGGCACTTGTGTGTCCTGGGATGGTTGCGTGACACTTGGCTCCTCTGTCCTCATCTCAACCTGGGCTCCTCCAGCAGAATTTTTCCCTCTTTTTTTTTTTTTTTTTTTTTTTTTTGAAATGAGGCTTGTTCTGTTACCCAGGCTGGAGTGAAGTGGTGCAATCTTGGCCCACTGCAACCTCCACCTCTGGGGTTGAAGCAGTTGTCCTGCCTCAGCCTCCCGGGAAGCTGAGAGTACAGGCACCCACCACCACACCAAACCAATTTTTGTACTTTTAGTAGAGATGGGGTTTCACCATGTTGGCTAGGCTAGTCTCGAACTCCTGACCTCAGGTGATTCACCTGCCTCACCTCCCAAAGTGCTGGGATTACAGGCACGAGCCACCGCACCCAGCCTCATCTGGCAGAATTTTAAAAACTGGTCTGATTTTACACAGCAGAAAATAAGAGGTCCTGACCAGGATGCAGCTGCAGGATTCCAGATCTATTTCACTGACCTGGGCGCATCCTGGCCACGCTGGGCCTGCCCCGGCCTTTGCTCCATGAGATCTCGCCTCTGCGGGCCTGGCCCTGGCCTCTGGGCCTCTCTGTGGGGCCTCCCCAGACTGGCCAGGTCCATCACACCCCTCAGCCCCAGGCCTCCCTGCCTGCAAACCCCCACCCACCTCACTCCTCCTTACCGGTATAACTGGAAGTCCTCCTCTGAGAAGATGTTCTGTATTTTATCCCCAAAGTATCTGTGAAAAAAGGAGTATTCACAAAGGTCACACTTCATTAATCTGTTGTTCATCTCCTTTCAGTTCAGCTATTCCTCAAGTCCCTGAAAATCAACTCAGAGCGACTCCATTTCCACAATGATAACTGCTATAAAGAAGGAGCTGGGGCCAGGTGCGATGGCTCCCGCCTGTAATCCTAGCACTTTGGGAGGCCAAGGTAGGCAGATCACCTGAGGTCAGGAATTCGAGACCATCCTGGCCAACATGGCGCAACCCTATCTCTACTAAAAATACAAAAAGTAGCTGGGCGTGGTGGTGCGCACCTGTAATCCCAGCTACTCAGGAGGCTGAGATGGGAAAATCGCTTGAACCCAGGAGGCCAAGGATGCAGTGAGTTGAGATTGTGCCACTGCACTCTGGCCTAGGCGACGGAGCGAGACTCCATCTCAAAATTATAACAACAATAATAAAAACAAAGAAGGAGCCAGCCAGGAGCGGGACCCGGGGCTAATGCGTGAGGCTGACACGGATCCAGGCGGGGAGGGTCTCTTTGCTCTCCCAGGTCCTCATGGAGCATCAGAGGCCCCATTGGATTCTTGGAGCTGCTCCTAGGAGCCTCCCACCTCTGCTGCCTCTTGCTCCCATCCCTTCTGTCCCTCAGCCCACAAAAAAACACCAGATTTCCCTAAAGCTTCATGAACAAGCCCCCTGCCCACAGGCTGTAGAGAGCCCACACCTCCCAGCTCCTGCGTCCCAACGAGCCACAAGGGACCTGGCCACTGAGGCCCTGAGGCTGCACCAAGCCAGATCCTCCCTCACGTGGACACGCCTCATGTGTCCCCGTGTCCACATGTCCACGCCACGTGTCCACGGCTAGGAGGCATGGAGTCGCTCGCTCAGCTTTCAGAGCCAGCACTGAGGTCACACTGCAGCACTCACCTGTACAGGTTCACAAAGTGCTTCCCGACAGACAGGGCCCCTGAGTGCAAGTCCAGAATGGATGCCTGGAAAAGACGTTGTGGAGTAAAGTGTGCGGCCGCAGCAATGGCAACGGCTGTTAAAAGTCACAGATGGTAAATGCGAGTTACCAAGGTCTGTCCTGCACACACCTCAGGTTTTTTTTTGTTTGTTTGTTTGTTTTGTAAAAAGGATCTTACTCTGTTGCCCAGGCTAGGGTGCAGTGGCACAATCTCAGCTCATTGCAGCCTCAATAGTCCAGGCTTCATCCACCTCTCAGTCCTTCCCCACATCCTCGGAGGAAGAGGCTTCCAGCCCACGTCAGTCACCCCACCTATGACCCCAGAGGAGCCCCACTGCTGCCCCTTCCTCATCGTCACGGCCACTAGTCCTGCAGCACCAACCTAGCGTGGGCCTGCTGAACGGTAACTGAACCCAGCGCAGTGGCCCAGCCAGCTCTGTGCAGGACAACTTCCCATGTGAACGTGGAGGAAGTGGTGAAACACAAACCCACCCACTCGCAGATCTGTAACAGATAGCCCCCAAACTGAACCAACCCAAACTGAAATAAAGCAAGGAACTCAGGCAGGGTATGGTGGCTCACGCCTGTAATCCCAGCGCTCTGGGGGATCAAGGCAGGTGGGTCACCTGAGGTCTGGAGTTCGAGACCAGCCTAACATGGTGAAACCTCGTCTCTACTTAAAATGCAAAAATTAGCTGGGTATCGTGGTACATGCCTATAATCCCAGCTACTCAGGAGGTTGAGGCAGGAGAATCACTTGAACCCAGGAGTTGGAGGTTGCAGTGAGTGGAGATTGCCCCACTGCACTCCGGCCAGGGCGAAAGAGTGAGACTCTGTCTCAAAACAAAAAACAAAAAACAAAAAAACTTAATTTTCAGAACCCAAGAGAAAAGAGTTTGCAGAAAAAAGTCAAAGAGACCATCATAGAAATATTTTGAAATTCTTGAAGAGTCTATAAATTAATTTCTTAGAAGTTTCAAAGATGGCCGGGCGCGGTGGCTCAAGCCTGTAATCCCAGCACTTTGGGAGGCCGAGATGGGCGGATCATGAGGTCAGGAGATCGAGACCATCCTGGCTAACACGGTGAAACCCTGTCTCTACTAAAAAAAATACAAAAAACTAGCCGGGCGAGGTGGCGGGCACCTGTAGTCCCAGCTACTCGGGAGGCTGAGGCAGGAGAATGGCATGAACCCGGGAGGCGGAGCTTGCAGTGAGCTGAGATCCGGCCACTGCACTCCAGCCTGGGCGACAGAGCGAGACTCCGTCTCAAAAAAAAAAAAAAAAAAAAGAAGTTTCAAAGATGCAGAAAGACTCAGGTCTATTCAGTGATTATAATTCAAAGCGATCACCAAATACACAGAGAGAAACAGATCTTCAGACAATTCCACACACCAAGCAAGAAAATAACCCTGAAGAAACCACATGGGAATTTGCGCTAACACCAGCTGCACTGGGCGGGTGGTGACTCCGTGATCCCTGTGGCTGCAGTAACACAAAACAGGGCTTTAAAACAACACAAGTTTATTCTCTCACAGTTCTGGAGCCCAGAAGTCCAAAATTGAGGTGTAGGCGGGGCCCTGCTCCCTCCCAGGGCTCCAGGGGAGGTCCTGCCCACCTCTTCCCATAGCCCCACCACTCCCATCTCTGCCTCCGTCTTCACAGGACCTTTTCCTCCTCCCTCTCAAATCTCCGCCGCCTCTGTCTCCTATGGGCACTTGCCATTGGATTTAGGACCCAAAATCCGGGATGATTTCATCTTGAGATCCTTAAGTTAATTACAGTTAATTACATCTGCAAAGGTCCCTTTTACAAATCAGATCATGTCCACAGGCTCCAGGTGAACACATTCTCCGAGGCCATCAGCCGACACCCTGCAGCGTCACACAGGGGACGACAGCCCCACAGGGCGTCCATGGAGGCATCCAGTTTGGAGGTTGCAGGATGCGTTGCAGCGTGTCTGTCCCACGGAGGCTCTGCTGTTTCCCGGCAGCTCCCCGCGTCCAGCGCACACAGCCATCTCCTCGCTGGGCTCCCACCCCTCTCCCTTGCTGGCTCTCTGCTTCCAACCCCCTCTATTCCCCCAGCGTGAACTGGAGCCAGGCAGGCTGTGACATGCCATGAAGAGATGGCCACGCACATCTAAGGACATACTCTTCCCAACGAGGGTCCGCTGCACAGGTTTCAGTCAGGCGCAGCTGCTGCAGCTGGTGCTGAGAAACACCACGGCGGGCCCCACCCACATTTGGGGGCATGCAGGGAACCCTGCACGTCTGTGCCTTCCCCTTCCCATCCAAGTGAGAGCAAAGTTAAAGGGTGAAATAAAGGGGGCAGGAACTACATTCAACTCACCCCTCCGTCAGATCCTCCCAGGGAGAGCCCCTTCTCAGCTATGCTGTAGGGAGAAAATAATTCAGAATTTAGTTACTGGAACTGTCTATAATGTATCATCTAGGCAAAACGTCAATCAGCACAATTAATGCAATGTTAGTGGGTCCTGCGTGTTTAATGTTTATGATGTAAACAAATGTTTAGACCAAAGGACTCAACTTTCAAAGTTCAGTGCATAAGTGACAGTACTGCCATTGCTGTCTTGTCAATATTTGACTCAGCTTAGAAACGAGTGGGCTTCAGCACTTTGGGAGGCCAAGGCGGGTAGATCACGAGGTCAGGAGTTCAAGACCAGCCTGGCCAACATAGTGAAACCGCGTCTCAACTAAAAATACAAAAATTAGCCAGTTGTGATGGCAGGTGCCTATAATCCCAGCTACTCTGGAGGCTGAGCCAGGAGAATCACCTGAACCCGGGAGGCAGAGGTTGCAGTGAGCCAAGATCATGCCACCGCACTCCAGCCTGGACAACAAAGCAAGACTCAGTCAAGAAAGAAAGAGAGAGAAAGAGACAGAGAGAGAGAGACGGAGGGAGGGATGGAGGGAGGGAGGGAGGGAAGACATGAATGGCTGGGCTTAATCTCTCATCTTCAACATTGAAAGCCACCTGGGCCAAGCTAAGGAGCCTTGGGAACATCTGGGGGGGGCCCGCTGCTCCCCATCTCTCCTGGGACCTCAGGCCGGCGGGGGAAGCTTTGAGATTCACCAGCTCAGGAGATAGGGGCCCTGCCCATGGTGGGAGAAAGACACGTACGCACCAGCTGTGCTGGACCAGAGAGGACCACCCCCAGCTGCCACAGGTGCTGGGAGCCGCCTATGGACACCAAGCGGGGACACGCCGGTGCCTCAGTGAGACGCAGTAACCCCACGTGGAGCTAGGCAGCATCCTTGGGGGCAGGCTCCCTGGGGAGAATCTCAGGGCAGGGCACATGGCCCAGGGCTGCACACGCTTAGCATCTCAACAAGTGGTTGGAAAATCAAAACTTTCTTTTAAGATCTCAGTAAGAAAAGTCCAGCACCAGCGGCCTCTGAGTGGCGTCCTGTGCTGCCACAAGTCACAGCCAGGTGGGCTGAAGGGCTCCTTGGAGGCAGTTTCAGGGCAGACACTGAGTGGTCATTGAGCAGTGTCCTGGAGGCTCTGTGGGGAGCAACGGGCACTCAGCAGCAGTCCCCAGAGGCGGCCACGACCTCTGCAGAGGAGCCCGGGCCTCCAGGTACTCTCTCAGCTACTGTTTCACTGAGGGCCATGGTCTCCTCTTCTGAAATTGAAAAATCTGAGCTTGGGCCTTGAAAGCACATAATTCTTTTTTTTTTTTGAGACAGAGTCTCACTCTGTTACCCAGGCTGGAGTGCAATGGCACGATCTTGGCTCACTGCAACCTCCGACTCCCAGGTTCAAGTGATTCTCCTGTCTCAGCCTCCTGAGTAGCTGGGATTACAGATGCGTGCCATCACGCCTAGCTAATTTTTTATATTTTAGTAGAGACGGGGTTTCGCCATGAGCCCAAGCTGGTCTCAAACTCCTGAGCTCAGGCAATCCACCCACCTTGGCCTCCCCAAGTGCTAGGATTACAGGCATGAGCCACTGCACCCAGCCCGGAAATTCTTATAAAATTATAATATAATCTTCTTTTTTTTTTTTTTTTTTGAGATGGAGTCTTGCTCTGTCGCCCAGGGTGGAGTGCAGTGGTGCAATCTCGGCTCACTGAAACCTCTGCGTCCTAGGTTCCAGTAATTCTCCTGCCTCAGCCTCCCAGGTAGCTGGGACTACAGGTGCCTGCCACCACGCCCAGCTAATTTTTTGTATTTTAGTGGAGACAGGATTTCACCGTGTTGCCCAGGCTGGTCCCGAACTCCTGAACTTAGGCAATCTGCCTGCCTCGGTCTCCCAAAGTGCTAGGATTACAGGCATGAGCCACCGAGCCCAGCAATAAAATCTTTAAAACCGCTTTATTACTAATAATGGTCTGCTTCCCGCCCTGGCCCCACTCCGCGTGTGTTTGTTTAAATCCCACCGTGCTCAGGGACGGGCGGTTACCTGCGAATCTGCTCCGCTTCCTCCCTGGTGATGACGACATCGGTGACACCTCTGCCGCATTTCCTGGGGGTGCAGCCTGCGATGGGACAGCCAGGGTGAGATGCAGTTTCCAAGGCCACCGGCGCATGCACTTCCAGGGGATCGGGGCCACAGCTGGCTAATACGCCCGGTCAAATGTGAATTTCAGACACACAACCGCAGCTCTCCAGAGTGCATGCGCTTTGTGCAGTGTGTCTGGAGTTCATGTCTCATTGGGCGTCCTTGGCTTCCAGTGGCTCCAACTGGAGATTTAATCCAGAAGCACCTGTTGCTGCCCCAAACCTTGGGAAAGCCACAGAAGCCCTAGACACGGCGTCGACAGCATTCCTGAACCATCACTGACTGCAGATCCAGACACCCACAGGCACCGTCAGAAAACCCTCCTGAGACCACCAGAGCAGAAAACCCTCCTAAGATCACCAGAGCGGAAAACCCTCCTGAGACCACCAGAGCGGAAAACCCTCCTGAGACCACCAGAGCGGAAAACCCTCCTGAGACCACCAGAGCGGAGCTTGTGGGTCTGGCCCCAGTCCTTCCCCAGGGCACAGCGAACTGTTCCCCACATCCCCGTCTCTCCCCGTACCTCGGTGACCTGCGGAGGCTGCGAGAGGAGGAAGCAGCAGCTCAAATGGGGGTCAGGGTGGTCGGGGGCAGGGACAGGGGCAGGGTCGTTGACAAGATGGTCGGGGCAGGAGCAGGGTTGTCGGGGCAGGGGCAGAGACAGGGTCGTCTGGGGCAGGGTGGATGGTGCAGGGTGGTCAGGCAGGGGCAGGGTGTTTGGGGCAGGGTGGTCGGGGCAGGGGCAGGGTCGTTGGGTCAGGGACAGGGTGGTTGAGGCAGCATCGCCCAGATGCACAAGGTACAGCAGACTGTCAGAGAAGGGTCCAGCGACCCGCCCCTGTGGTTTCCTACGAAGTGCAGCTGGCTTTGTGCGCTGGGCAGGCCGCAGGCCATGCCTGACTATGAGACGGCAGCCCACGAGCACCAGGACATGGGCCAACCGGGACTCCACAATTTGCTTTTCCTCCCTCTCCCTACGTCCTGCCTAGAAAGCCAGCCCTGAGCCTGGACGTGAAGCCTCCCTCTCGGGACCATGGGAATAAAAGCCTCGCACTCAGTGCTGAGCGCCAGCATCGGGGGCTTGGACCCAGACATCACATGGCACCGCGATGACCTTGTTCCAGGAGATAAACAAAGCTCTACTTGGCTGAATATCAGGGAAGGGGGGCTGTAGTTACATGTGGTTAAATGATCTAATGGACATAGGCATTTTATTTCAAAAACAGAAAGTCATTTTATGCTTTTTTATAAGGTTTCCCCCACTAAACATGAGGACACAGGAAAGCGGAAAGCAAACGGCAAATGCAATGAGAGCCACACAGGCCTGTGGCACAGCCTCTGTACTAGCAACGAGAATCACTAGAGGGAAGAGAGGTCCCTGTGGCACAGGAGCGACTCGACAGGAAGGGGAAGGGACAGCAAACAGCAGACAACATTGTCCCACGACACATATGGCAGCGAAAGCAGAGACGCGGCTGGGTCCACGCTCAGCGGAGATTCTGATGCCCCTTTCCATAACTGGTGGGTGAAGGGGACAGAAACTGGTGACAAGAATTTGTGCACATGAGCGTGGGTCAGGAGAAATACCCATAAAGTTGTAAAAAATGACCAAAAATTTCATGCATTTAGAAATTTTTTAAATTTCCAAGTAACTCTGAGTTAAAAAACAATAATAATGAAAATTAGAGGCCCGGGCAGTGGCTCATGCCTGTAACCCCAGCGCCTTGGGAGGCCAAGGCGGGTGGATCACCTGAGGTCAGGAGTTCGAGATCTGCCTGGGAAACATGGGTGAAACCCCGTCTCTACTAAAGTTACAAAAATTAGCCAGACATGGTGGCAGGTGCCTGTAGCCCCAGCTACTCAGGGGGCTGAGGCAGGAGAATCACTTGAACCCAAGAGGCTTGGCGGAGGTTGCAGTGAGCCAAGATCACGCCACTGCACTCCAGCCTGGGCAACAGAGTGAGTAACACTCTGTCCCCCCCCCCCAAAAAAAAAAAGAAAGAAAGAAAGAAAGAAAGAAAGAAAGAAAGAGAAAATACATCAAACCATTTGTTTTATTGTAAAATACATACAACATAGAATTTACCATTTTAACCAAACTTTTTAAAAAATGTGCAGTGTGGTGGCATCAGGCACAATTGCATCAGGCAGCCATCACTAGCACCACCTCCAGAACTTTTCCACCTCCCCCAGGTGAAATCCCAAACCCATTAAACATGGACTTCCCATCCCCCCTCCCTCATTCCAACTTTTTTCTTTTTTGGCAGGGGTCAGGATCTCCCTCTGTCACCCAGGATGGAGTGCAGTGGTGCACTCTAGGTGCACTGCAGCCCCGACCTCTGGACCTCCCAACCTCCTGGGTTCAAGTGATTCTCCCACCTCTGCCTCTTGAGCTGGGGGTACAGGCGTGCACCACCGCACCTGGCTCATTTTTTATTTTGTAGAGATGGGGTCTCACTGTGTTTCCCAGTCTGGTCTTGAACTCCTGGCCTCAAGCGATCCTCCTGCCTGGGCTTCCCAAAGTGCTGGGATTGAGGATGAGCCACTGCTCCAGGCCATTCCAACCATTTTTAATGTCGATAAATTATTAATGATCGCAAGAAAAAATTCTGCTTGGTGCTAGCATTCAAAAAAGAGTTTTGCAAAGCTGGGATGTTAGAGAGAGAACTGCTAAAAGAGAGAGAGCACCCACAACAACCCACAACAGAGACACTTTCATTTTCCTGGCCCCGAGGCGGTCCCGTCCCTCCCTGCGGCGCAGCTGGGACCACGTTTACATGCGTCACAACGGCGCCCCTTGGTGGAAGAACTTGGCAATCTTTTCTTGGTTCAAGTGCAAAGCATTGAATTGAATTTTTTAAAACCTGAATTCTGCCTCAAAAACCCAGTCGCGCATCTTGGATTTTTAAAACTAAGATTTTTAAAACATCCAGATAGCATGGAATGCTCAAGAAAACAGAAGTGACAGGAGGCCTACAGGCAGCGGGGTCTGCACTGGCCGGCCCGGTCAGCCCTGCTCCGGGGCCGTGCGCTCTCCAGGGTGCTGAACCCCGGCCCTGCTAACCACAGCGCTGCTCCAGGCTCTGGGCTGCCCTGGAACCACCACTACCCCCATATCAGGCCCAGGCAGAACGGGAGCGGGGGAGAGGAGCTGGGGCACAGGACAGCAGAAGGGCTGCCGGTCGTTCCTTGTTACATTTTCCCCAACATTCTCTGACTGTACCACATTCTCCAGTCAAAAAATCTTTCTGGTTTTGACTTTCTCATCCCTATCTTTCTAAGGCAAACCATCTCCTCCACTGGACCGTACAGCTTACTAAAACGCTGACTGTGGCTGGGCAGTGATGGGCAGGGCCCGAAACACCTGCACTCCCAGCCAGGTGTGGACTAGCCAGCCTGCAGGAGGGGAGAGGTCGTCTGCTACCCCCAAGCATACCACATCCAACCCAATTCCCACCCCTTCGTCTCAGCCAATGTCCTTTAACCACATTGAGTCTCATTTTAACGCGTTGCTTTCCTGAACTACCGCAGAGCCTGTGGCACTGTACCTTCAAACCTGCGGTGACTGTCGTAGTCCTCAGAGCAGGGCACCTCGATGAATCTCCCCGCCACGACCTCGCCACGGCGGGCCAGGACCTCTGTGACCCCGTCTTCGGCCCCTAAGTTGCTCCAGAGCAGGAGTGCGGTGAGCACAAGGCCGGCCCCCAGGCCCGCAGTCCTTAGCCACGGCCTCTGCCACAGCCTCTGCACCTCCCGCGGGGATCGGTCCTTCTTGGTGCTGAGAACAGAAAACAGGTCACGTCACCCAAACGCGGAGTGAGCCAGAGAAAACGCTCCCGAATCATCAAAGTGCATGCGCCATGACCTGGCCTTCACTCACACCTCACCCCCGAAACGAGGGCTTCCTGCCTGGGGCCAGCGCTGTCCACTCAGGAGACATGGACTCTTCCCTCCCTTTCCCTTCGGGGGTCTCCAATACACACTAGCTGCCTCCTGAGCCAGGGAGTTTGAGAAACACTGCAATAGAGACCCATGGGTTTTAAGTAGAAGAAAAAAAAGAAAAGAAAAGGCCAGACATGCTCCTTATAAAGGCTACTTGAGGCGGGTGCAGTGGCTCATGCCTGTAATCTCAGCACTTTGGGAGGCTGAGGCGGGCAGATCACCTGAGGTCAGGAGTTCAAGACCAGCCTGACCCACATGGTGAAACCCTGTCTCTACTAAACACACACACACACAAATTAACCAGGCGTGGTGGAACATGCCTGTAGTCCCAGCTACTCAGGAGGCTGAGGCAGGAGAATCATTTGAACCCGGGAGGCGGAGGTTGCAGTGACCCAAGATTGTGCCATTGCACTCCAGCCTGGGCAATGAGAGCAAAACTCCATCTAAATAAATAAATAAATAAATGCCACTTTAATGTGAGATGTTTCACAACAAAATAAGGATGTTTAAAAGGGTTTGCTTAGCAAAATGGGACAGGATGGGGTGCCCTGTGGTGCAGCTGTTCTAGGACAGGCTGGTAGTGATGGGGGCCTCCATGCAGGGGTGAACCCTAAGGATGGGGGCCGCTGGAGGAAGGCTGTTTCCAGAGTGGGACAGAGGTGAGCCCCCTACAGCTCAGGTATTCCATCAGGGCCGCACTCACTCCCCTCCTGTAAAATAAGCTTCACGTCTGCTCCAAGGAGCAGGTGTTGGGTCTGTCCCACCGCTGAGAAGAGAAGGGCTTTGGACACATGTATTTCCAAAACTTGAATAAAGGCTCATTTAAGGTATATAAGGACAATATTTCTTTTATTTATTTATTTTTATTTATTTATTTTTTTGAGACAGAGTTTCACTCTTGTTGCCCAGGCTGGAGTGCAATGGCACCATCTTGGCTCATTGCAACCTCTGCCTTCCAGGCTCAAGCAATTCTCCTGCCTCAGCCTCCTAAGTAGCTGGGATTACAGGTGTGCACCACCACGCACAGCTTTTTTTTTGTATTTTTAGTAGTAGAGATGGGGTTTCACCATGTTGGTCAGGCTGGTCTCGAACTCCTGACCTCAAGTAATCTGACCACCTCAGCCTCCCAAGGTGCTGCAATTACAGGCAAGAGCCACCATGCCCAGCCTCAAAAGTCTATATTTCTATATTAACCATTCAGTGCTGACAAAAACTGTTACTCAGTATTTCAGAAAATGTACAAGTGAACTGGAAATTTTTTAAATGTATTAAGTAACTTCTCATATTATTATTGAAGAAAATAGGTAGGTGTATATTTATACTTGAAATATTCTTTTGGAGATATTTGGTTTTTGGGAAAAGGTAGAATACTTATAAATCATCGCTAGGTCATTCATTTATGCTTAATAAAATTATACCTGCATGCTAGTCTGATGGTAGTGGGTTCCCAGAACTTAATAACCTTAGTGTCACCAATGTTGGTATACAACCTCCCACTGCTAAATTTGACTGGCTTTTAAAAAAATTATAGCTGTGGTCAGGTGCGGTGGCTCACGCCTGTAATCCCAGCACTTTGGGAGGCTGAGGTGGATTGCTTGATGTTGGGAGTTCGAGATCAGCCTGGCCAACATGGTGAAACCCCATCTCTACTAAAAATACAAAAATTAGCCGGGTGTGGTGGTGGGCGCCTGAAATCCCAGCTACTTGGAGGCTGAGGCAGGAGAATCTCTTGAATTTGGGAGGTGGAGGTTGCAGTGAGCCGAGATTGTGCCACTGCACTCCAGCCTGGGCAACAGAGCCAGACTGTCTCAAAAAAAAAAAAAGAAAGAAAAAGAAAAAAAATTATAGCTGTGAACTAGCATAAGGCATTTAATATTAAGGAAGGAGACCACTACTACTACTGCTGCCCTCCTCCCCCCACCTTGCCTAGTTCACAAGACAGGAGGAAAGAGAGAAAGAAACAAAAGTAACATAAATAGCCAGACAACCTTGGCACCAACACTCGGTCCTAGGAGTTAAACAAAGTAATAAAAATAATATCAACCCCTGGCCTAAACTACTTGTGTTATCTGTAAATTCCAGACACTGTAAGAAAAAAGCATAGTAAAACTTTCTGTTCTGTTAGCTGATGCATGTAGCCCCCAGTCACGTTTCCCACGCTTGCTCGATTTATCACGACCCTTTCACGTGGACCCTTTAAAGTTGTAAGCCTTTAAAAAGGCCAAGTATTTCTTTTTTGGGGAGCTCGGCTCTTAAGACCCAAGTCTGCTGACGCTCCCGGCCGAATAAAAAACCTCTTCCTTCTTTAATCCAGCGTCTGAGGAGTTTTGTCTGCGGCTCGTCCTGCTACAATATCCTATCTAGTAGACTCCAAAAGCAGCTCAGATGAAGAGGGGACAAAAATCTCAAGAACAAACTATGAGGTTTAAGAGTCATTGTAGCTATCCAAACCTGAGGTGTCCTCCTGATTTTCCTTAACTGACGGCTTCAGTGTGCAACTCGTCAATAGAGGGGTATTGGGCACTCTCGAAAATAGCAAAATATTAATATTAAGCAAGCGAGAAGCTGTATTCTGCACGCTAGAAGATCCTTCACTAATACCTGCAAACCAATGATCACCTGTAACATTTTAAAATCCTAAAACTAAGCCATTCCTCCATGGCACCCGATCCTCTAGAATTCCACGGGGAAAGCAGTCTTCGTGGTTTAAAAGTGAAGGCGGAGGCACACTCCCGGCTCAGGCGGACTTTCCAGGCTGCTGGGTGGGTTACTCCACGCGACAGCGACAGCCAAACGGCAGGTTCCCGGAGCAGCAGCAGCAGCCCATCAGGCTGGAAGCAAAGCCCCCTTCTCTTTCTCATGCCCCTCTGGGGTCGGTGGGCCTCCACTGTCGGCCACCGCGGCTTCCGCCCGCACCTGCCCCGCTCCCAGCATGGGATGCGGTAGGCCCCGCCCCTCCGCGGCAGACCACGCCCCGCCTGCCCCACCCCACCCCCCGTCGGGCCAGGCCCCGCCCCGTCAGGCCCCGTCCCGCCCACTCCATGGCCCAGTCAGCCGCAGCAGCGCGCGCCCTTCTCCTCCTCGCCGCTACCTGCTCCGGTTCCGGCGCTCGGCCGCTCCGTTGCCCTCGGGCGCCTTGGTTGCGGCCCTCCGCTGAGGCGCCATCGGGCCAGGCCGCCGCAGAGCCGAGCCGGACGCGGGCGCCAGGCCCGGGGACGAACGCCGTGACAGGGAGCGCGAGGCGGGCGCGGCGCAGGGACGCGGGAGCGACGCGCTCGGCCATCGGCCCCTGGGCTGGCGGCCAGGCCGGAGCAATCGGCGGCCGATCTGGGCGGGGCTCAGAGCGGAGGCGGCGGCCGCGGGGGCGAGGTCCGCCTGGTTGCGCCCCGGACCTCGCGGGACCGCGGCGGCGCAGGTGAGGTGCGGGTGCGGCTCTGGCTCCGCGCGCTCGGCCGGGCGGCTGCCGGCTGGAAGCGTTTCCCCGGTGCCTGTACCTGGAGAGGGACGGCCGGGCTCCCGAGCGGCGCCTCCCAGCGTGGCTGTCCCGCAGCGGCACCGAGCCTGGGGGTGAATATTGTGGGTAACTGGTCGTAGGCGAAACTGAAAGTGCTTGGTGTCCGTGTGCACCACCGGCCTGCCCTGCTGTGTTACAGAGTCCTTAGGGTCAGAAGCCTCCGAACCCTTGCACGGAACCAGGGGTTGGATTATTGAACTGAATCTGTCTCACATGCAAAGCTTTCCTTTCCTCTTCTCACCCAATCCTTTGTGCTTTCGTAGTAGATAGGAAAAATAAATAAATAAGTTTTACCCTTCCCCAGCTGCTTCGTTATCCTTTGGATGCCGCTTTTATTCAGTATAATACTACGCTTAGCTCTGATGCACTTGGGGGCTTTTTAAAAAGTATTAGCTTACCTTAAATCCTAGACAGTTTTCCCCAACCTGGAGTCAGTTATGCAGTTTCTTCCTCTTTATAATCAAGCTGATCTGAGCTCTAGAAATACAAATTAGTTTTAATATTACCTGAAATTAGGATAAATTTCCTACAGAAGCACCATATTGTGTGGCTTGATAAGAAAATGTTTAGGGGCTTCTGCCCGACTTTTCACTAGCATAGTACATCTAGTTTAACAAGGTCTTTAAAATGAAGTTGTTTTGCAGTTACTTGTGTTATTATAGATCATAACCATCTTATAAACTGGGTGGCATGGCCGGGCACAGTGGCTCACGCCTGTAATCTCAGCACTTTGGGAGGCTGAGGCAGGTGGATCATGAGGTCAGCCGTTTGAGACCAGCCTGGCCAACATGGTGAAACCCCGTCTCTACTAAAAATACAAAAATTAGCCAGGCATGGTGGCGGGCGCCTGTAACCCCAGCTACTCCACAGGCTGAGTGCTGTTTTGTTTTAGCAGCAAATCACACATAGCAGAGGTTTCTATATCTTAACATGGAGGAAGCCTTCCGGTTCATTTTCATGTTAGCAAAATGAGTTTCCTCCGAGTCAGTCAAAACTGGCTAGTATCAGAACTGAAACTGAAAGTATAAGGGGAAAGGCAAAGGGAGAAGCTTCTGCCCCTGTTGATAACTCTCGATTTTCTCCACTAGGAAGAAGTCCCCGAGGAGACTTCCCCATAGGAGTTCACAGAAAATATTGAAATGTCAGGTTCCACGCCATTTAAGATGAGATTAGTTCATTTAGACCTTAAAGGAGCTCCACCAAAGGTCTCATACCTCTCAGAGGTAAGGACTCCCTTTCACCTCTAGAGCATCGCTTTTTGCCTTGTCTTCATTCTTCAAAGTTTGGAGCAGTGTTCTGTGGAAATGGGTGCCTGGAACAACCGCAAGGTTCTTAGTGGAGGCAGATGGTGGCAGCAGCGTTGATTTTGAATTTCCCCCATAGCCTCTCACAAAAACAGAACAACCAGGATGACAAAAAAAAAAAAAACCCACAAGAGAGAGGACAAAAGAAACTCACAGCTTCTTTCTTGTGGGTGGAAGTGTGTCTTTCCAAAAAGATATGTTCAAGTCTTAACCCCTGGGACCTATGAGTGAGACTTTATTTGGAAATAGGATCTTTGCAGATGTAATCAAAATAAGATGAAGTTGTACTAGAATATGGTGAACCCTGATCCAGTGATTGGCATCCTTACGAGGAGAGGGAAATTTAGAAGCTGAGACACACATGGAGGGAAGGCAGTGTGAAGACCCAGGAGGACACCTCACGGTGCCGGCAGCCAAGAAGGTCATGATGCGCCATGAACCCTGAGATGCCAAGGATAGTTGACGATCACCAGAAGCTATTGAGAAGCAAGAAAGGGTCCTCCTCTGCAGCCTTCAGGGAGAGCTGGGTCTGCTGACACCTCGATTTTGGACTTAGGGTCTTCAGAACTGTGAGAGAATAAATGTCTGTTGTCAAAAACCACCCAGTTGGTTTTTGTTTTTGTTTTGAGATGGAGTCTCGCTTTGTTGCCCAGGCTGGAGTACAATGGTGCAGTCTCGGCTCACTGCAACCTCCACCTCCCGGGTTCAAGCAATTCTCCTGCCTCAGCCTCTGGAGTAGCTGGGGTTACAGGCGCCCGCCACCATGCCTGGCTAATTTTTGTATTTTTAGTAGAGACGGGGTTTCACCATGTTGGCCAGGCTGGTCTCAAACTGCTGACCTCATGATCCACCTGCCTCAGCTTCCCAAAGTACTGGGGTTACAGGCGTGAGCCACCGTGCCCGGCCAAGCCACCTAGTTTATGGTCATTTATTACAGCACCCCTAGAAAACGAAGACACTCTTCAACAAAACTAGGTATCAGGGTGTCCCCACGGATCCCAAACTACAAGTGGGTGGGGCCAAACCACAGACAGAATAACACCTGTATGGGGTTAGCGGCCAAGCAGGAGGTAACAGAGGAAAGAGGGAAACTCCGACAGTGCTGAGACCAGAGGACCCAGAAATTAGCCTCAAAAGTAAATAAAGGTCTCCCACAGGGAGAAGCGGGGCAGAGTTTTAATGGCTCCCATCTGAGATTGAGTGCAAAGAGACTTAAAGGAGGGTGCAGGGGAGGCCGAGGCTGCAAGACTCTCAGAAATACCCAACGAAACTTTCAGGAGGGTGTAGGGGAGGCCCAAGGCTGCAAAGCTCTCAGAAATACGTAATGAAACTTCCTTCCAGAGGAACAGCGGCCCCCACTAAGGACAAAACGGGGAAAGAATCCACATTGAACTGGGCAGGAACAGCGAAGGGAAAACGGAATGCTTAGGTCCTGGGGAAAGGCGTCCAGAAGAGGCGGAAGTCAAAAAATGCTGCAGAGTAGCTACACAGAGCCTGCAGTTTCTAATGCCACATGGCAGCAGTAGAGGAGGGGGCCTTGAGGCTGGCCTGTCAACATTGCAAACACAAGAGCCTGTTCTTAAAAGTGAGCAACAGGCTGGCCATGGTGGCTCACGTCTGTAATCCAGGCACTTTGGGAAGCCAAGACAGACAGATCACCTGAGGTCAGGAGCTTGTGACCAGCCTGGGAAACATGGAGAAACCCCGTCTCTACTAAGAACACAGAAATTAGCGAGGAATGGTGACACACATCTGTAGTCCCAGCTACTCGGGAGGCTGAAGCAGGAGAATCGCTTGAACTCAGGAGGCAGAGGTTGCAGTGAGCTGAGATTGCACCACTGCACTCCAACCGAGGTGACAGAGCAAGACACCATCTCAAAAAAAGAAGGAAAAAAGAAAAAGAAAAAGCAGGAAAGAGTGTTAACATCATACAAAGATAGGTAAGAAAAAGGAAGGCCGGGCACAGTGGCTCACGCCTGTAATCCCAGCACTTTGGGAGGCCAAGGAGGGTGGATCACAAGGTCAGGAGATCAAGACCATCCTGGCTAACACGGTGAAACCCTGTCTCTACTAGAAATACAAAAAATTAGCCCCATGTGGTGGTGGGCACCTGTAGTCCCAGCTACTCGGGAGGCTGAGGCAGGAGAATCGCTTGAACCTGGGAGGTGGAGGTTGCAGTGAGCTCACATTGTGCCACTGTGCTCCAGCCTGGGTGACAAGAGTGAGACTCCGTCTCGACAAAAAAAGAAAAAAGATGATCTGAATAGCATTGCAGCAGTGAAGGTGCTCCAGACACACGCCCACCCAGCAGGAAACACTGTTCCATAATATTTCATAATGAGATAAAAGATGCTCAGAAGATCACAGAAGCTGTGAAAGAACAGCATAAATCAGAAATAGAAAAGCCCAGGCCAGGCTCAGTGGCTCACGCCTGTCATCCCAGCACTTTGGGAGACCAAGGCAAGTGGATCACTTGAGGTCAGGAATTCGAGACCAGCCTGGCCAACATGTGAAGCCCCGTCTCTACTAAAAATACAAAAATTAGCCAGGCGTGGTGGCAGGCGCCTATAATCCTACCTACTTGGGAGGCTGAGGCATGAGAATTGCCTGAATCTGGGTGGTAGAGGCTGCAGTGAGCCGAGATTGCACCACTGCCCTCCAGCCTAAGCGAAAGAGCAAGACTCTAAAAAAAAAAGAGAGACAAGCCCAGAAATGTGGTAACTAGACAAAAGAAGGGTGTAAAAAATTGCCTGTGGAGCTCAGAAATGAATTCTAAAGAAAAAACATTTTTTTAATGAAGACTAAACTATAAGAAGTGTAAAAGTGAGTAGACACCATGGAAAGTGCAGTATTTGAAAACAGATGACAGAAAAGAAAAAAGCAAACACAGAGAGATGAAAAGGCATTCTGACAATTGAATATGGCAAAGAAGACTGAACTTACACACAGCTGATGAAAAGCCGTTCTGACTTGGGCTGGGTGCGGTGGCTCATGCCTGTAATCCCAGCACTTTGGGAGGCTGAGGCAGGCAGATCATCTGAGGTCAGGAGTTCCAGACCAGTCTGGACAACATGGTGAAACCCCATCTCTACTAAAAATACAAAAATTAGCCAGGCATGGTGGCAGGTGCCTGTAATCCCAGCTACTTGGGAGACTGAGACAGGAGAATCGCTTGAACCCAGGAGGCGGAGGTTGCAGTGAGCCAAGATCGCGGCATCGCACTCCAACCTAGGGGACAAGAGTGACAGTCCATCTCAAAAAAAAAAAAGAGGCCGGGCGCGGTGGCTCAAGCCTGTAATCCCAGCACTTTGGGAGGCCGAGACGGGTGGATCACGAGGTCAGGAGATCGAGACCATCCTGGCTAACACGGTGAAACCCCGTCTCTACTAAAAAATACAAAAAAACTAGCCGGGCGAGGTGGCGGGCGCCTGTAGTCCCAGCTACTCGGGAGGCTGAGGCAGGAGAA